TACGTTCAGGGTCCAAACCGTAGATCTACGCCATGAGCTCAGCTCACTCTGATAAACTGTGAGTGGTACATTTGGGCCTAGATATGAGAGAATACATCTATGTGGTATGTGTGCACCACATAAAACAGATCCTGCAGCACACTGTGTATAATGAGAGAAAAAAAACTGAAATCATGATTTTTCGATTAAAACAGCGACTTTGCAGTGTTTTTTCGTATGTTTTTTATAGTTGTATTTGCGATTTCTTGGTCTCAATTGATAGAATGGAAGACATATTAAAGAAAATAGAGATGATTTTGATTGGTTTTAGCACTGGAAATGGCTTGAAACTGAGCTCAAAGTAGCAGAAATGTTAAATTTTTGCCGATATTCAAGAGTAAACAAACGACCTCACACGTCTAATACACGCCAGCTGGTGGGTCTAATATGCATTCACAAATTGGTGATGATATTTATACAATTATTACAGTATTGCATAACAGTAAATCTTCTATTTTTTGGTGTGAATAAAAAATCAAAATGGAATTTATTTGTAAAGCCTCAAAACGTAACTAATGAACAGAGGAAATGCTAGTTTAGTTCCAGGAATACCTACATTGTTTATTCTGGACCCTATTTTGAAATTGGAATATTTTGAACTTTGTGTTAAATTGGCCAAATTAACAATTTCCGATCACTTTAATTTGTAGTTGAAACAGTTGACTTGCTGATTTCTTGTGCTCAATCGATAGAATAGAAGTAATACTAGTGAAATAGCTAAGAATTTGGTTGACTGGAATAATGTAATTGGCCTAAAATGGGAGTCAAAGTCGGCAAAATCGCCGATTCGTAAATATCGCTGACACATCAAAATTCGCGAGAGCATAATTTCGTCAGTTTTCCATCAAATTTCGTACTTTTTGTTTTATTACCTTCACAAAAAGATTCTTTACCATTTCATAAGAAAAAATAACAAATTTTTTTTTGAAAATTCTTGGACACTGGGGCACCACTTCAGATTTGGGCCTTGGACCCTGAAGGGGTTAAGTTAGCAATAGAACTGGGCATTAACCCTTTCAGGGTCCAGAGGCCAAATTTCAAAGTGTGCACCAGGGTCCAAGAATTTTAAAAAAATAATTTTTTTTGTTTTTTCCTATGGAATGGTAGAGAATCTTTTTCTGAAGGCAATAAAACAAAAAGTACGAAATTTGATGAAAAATTTACAAAATTATGCTCTCGCGAATTTGATGTGTCGGCGATATTTACACATTGGTGACTTTGACTCCCATTTTAGGCCAATTACAGTATTCCAGTCAACCAAATTCTTAGCTATTTCTCTAGTATTACTTCTGTTTTATCGATTGAGCACAAGAAATCGCCATGTCAACTGTTTAGACAACAAAATAAAGTGACCGGAAATTGGTAATTTGGCCAATTTAATGCAAAGTTCAAAATACTATTCCAATTTTAAAATAGGGTCCAGAATAAACGAACAATGCAGGCATTCCTGGCACTAAACTAACATTTCCTCTCTTCATTAGTTAAGTTTTCAGGCTTTACAAATGAATTCCATTTTGATTTTTTATTCACATAATGAATTTTTATTCAAACCAAAAAATAGAAGATTTACTGTTAGGCAATACTGTAATAATAATTGTATAAATAATATCACCACATTTGTGAATGTATATTAGACTCACCAGCTGTCATGTATTAGACTTGTGAGGTCATTTGTTTACTCTTGAACATCGGCAAAAATTTAACATTTCTGCTACTTTGAGCTCAGTTTCAAGCCATTTCCAGTACTAAAATCAATCAAGAACATCTCTATTTCTGTAGTATATCATACATTCTATTAAATGAGACCAAGAAATTGCAGATACAACTATAAAAAACATACAAAAAACTGCAAAATTGCTGTTTTAATCGAAAATTATGGTCTCAGTTTTTTTCTCTCATGCACTGTGTCGCAGGATTTGTTTTATGTGGTGCACACATATCTAGGCCCAAATTTACTGCTCACAGCTTATCAGAGTGAGCTGAGCTCATGGCGTAGATCTACGATTTGGACCCTGAACGTAAAGTCGTAGATTTACGGCACTAACCCTGAAAGGGTTAAAAAGTAAAATACACACACAGTACACTCATTATTTACCTCAAAATATTTCCAGTCTTCATGTAGGGCAAAAGGTGAGTAGTATTTACTCTAAAAAGTCAGGTGTGGTAACCCTCCTGGCCATCCCACCCACACATACTAGACTACGATGCTTAGCTCCCTAGAGCGATAAAATGCATATACAGTAGACGCATTACTTACCTTAAAATATTTTAGTCTTAGTGGTTTTAATGTAGGGTGAGAGGCGAGAAGTATTTATTTGTAGAAAGTCATGTGGGATGTATGGCATCCTGCCTGGCCACTTATACCTACTACGACATTAGGCTCCCCAGAGCGATAAAATGCACATATAATACACTCAATAATTACTTTAAAATATTTGTAGTCTTAATGTAGGGTGAGAGGTGAGTTTTATTTGTATGAAGTCAGGTTGGGAAGTATGGATAGCCAGGAAGATCAGCCCTCCCCACCCCACCCACACATAATGTAAGCAAACCAGATGAACGCGTCTGGTTTTCGTCACAAGTCTTATAAGTTGCCTGGCTACCGCAAGTCCTACAAGTTGCCTGGCTACCACCCAAATTGCCGCTACAAGTTGCCTAGCTACCACAAGTCTACAAGTCCTGCCACATGCGCTACCACAAGTCCTACAAGTTGCCTAGCTACCACAAGTTGCCTGGCTACCACAAGTTGCTTGGCTACTGCAAGTCCTACAAGTTGCCTGGCTACCACAAGTCCTACAAGTTGCCTGGCTACCACAAGTTGCTTGGCTACCACAAGTCCTACAAGTTACCTGGCTACCACAAGTTGCTTGGCTACCACAAGTCCTACGAGTTGCCTGGCTACCACAAGTTGCCTGACTACCACAAGTCCTACAAGGTGCTTGGCTACCACAAGTCCTACAAGTTGCCTGGCTACCACAAGTCCTACAAGTTGCCTGGCTGCCACAAGTCCTGCAAGTTGCCTGGCTACCACAAGTCCTGCAAGTCACCTGGCTACCACAAGCCCTACAAGTCACCTGGCTACCACAAGTGTTACGAGTTACCTGGCTACCATAAGTCCTACAAGTTGCCTGGCTACCACAAGTCCTACAAGTTGCCTGGCTACCACAAGTCCTACAAGTTGCCTGGCTACCACAAGTCCTACAAGTCGCCTGGCATTGGCATTAAAAGTCAAAGAAGGGAAGTAACCCCAGATAGGGCTTTGATACCTGAAATCCTTATGGAGGGGGATTTCCCTTCCAGACAATAAACTCTCTGCCCTCTCTCCTCCTCCCTATCTTCCATAATCCAACAACAGTCTTCAGTAAAGGTATGTAATACTGATTTAATTGTTCGCGTATTTATTTTATTTAGTACTCATTGTTTTGTGTATGAAAAACTATAATTAATCTCTTAAAAATCTTATTTTTTTTTTGTGAATATTTTTGGGTGTCTGGAACGGATTAATTGTATTTACATTAATTATTATGGGTATTTCGATTATCGGCCATTTCAGTTTTAGGTTGGCCTTCTGGAACAGATTACGGCCGATAACCGAGGGTCCACTGTATATTATAGAACAATGGTAACAAACAATTTTTGTATTGTTTGTTTGTAAACAAGTTTTATAAACAATATTTTGATGAGTATGTTGTGTTTGTGCTTATTGTGTTGCATACGAGTGTATGCAACACAATAAGCACCTTTGGTCTCACAGGCAACATAAGTTACCTGAAAAAATTAAGTAGTGTAAAAAACAAGAAACCTTCGAATGGGAGTTTAAAAATTTTACCAGGTGAGTGGCATTCACTGCCGTTGCCATACACAGCTCATTTTCTGCCAACTTTACGCCTCTATATCTCGGTAAGTACTGATCGCAAAAATTTTTTATACGCTTAAAACACTCGGCAAATTAATCCTAACATTTTGGTAAGAAATTTTTTTTTTTTTTTTTTAATATTTTGTGACATAGGAAGACAGTTTCAGAATTGGGCTTGCGACAGTCAAAGGGTTAATGAGCAGGAGGATTCATGTGAATTATTTGAAGAATATGCTGCTCTTATTGACTTATTATCTGAAGAATACAGTGAAAGGTTCACTGATTGAGATAAAAAAATCATGACCTCACACTGAAATTAACATTTCAACCTCACCTAGTTGTTGTCTCTGAGGCTCCTAAAGAGCTACAGATAGAATTGATTGAGTTCTCAGAAGATAACAGTTTACAGTCCCTGTTAGATGCTACAAAAGATCCCATTTAAACATTGGAAAATGCAATAGAATACCCACATTTGTGGCAACATGCACGCTGAATGCTTTCTTGTTTCTCAACCACTTTTTGTTGCGAATCCACATTCTCCTCTTAAGATCCCAAATGGCAGATGCACCCCTGGAGGATCAGCTGAAACGGCGGACTTCCATGGTTCAACCAAATATCCAAATGCTTTCCCCACAAAAAGCAATCACAAAGTCATTAAAAAGTTAGGTATTTTATAATTAAAAAGAATGAATTTTCTAATTAATTTTTTAACCAAATAACTGACATTTTACAGTGTATAATATCCAATCAAAATTTCTTGAATGTGGCCTTATTAGGTTCCAGGTAACTTTAATGTAACATTACAACATGAAAAGGTTCCCCACCCCTGGGTCACTAGATATTTTATTACCCTCATTACCTTGTTCTTTTGTAATGTTCATTTTCACTTTCCCTTTGCATATCCTCTCAAATTTGTTCACTGACCTTTGCAGCTTGTCTTCAGAATCTCCCAAAAGGGCTGTCCTTGGCAGATAGCACCATTAAATGTACATGTTAAGTCTGTTTTTGTCTATTTTAACTATCATCACTTTATGGGGGTCTATTTTATTAGACTTTTACTGTAAATGACTTTTACAAGTGGTTAAATAAAAACAAAACATTTCAGGGGCTTTTAAGGAAGGATCATTGCGGATCATTAGAAATGGCATTGGTATCCATGAACAGGCTTCCATTGAGCTGGATGGTATCAAGGGTATGTGGTCACTGAGTGTGAACTCGCCAAAACATCACAATACCATCGTCCTCTCATTTGTTGGTCTCACTAGGTAAGTGCTGGCTATGTATTTTCATAAAGGTTATATTCCATGTTTTTTTCACTATTAAAAACATTTTTATTTTACTTATTTTCCCCACCATGTATTGTCCTGTATATCTGTTCATTTTTCATTACAGGTCTTCCATCACAAATCTGACATCATTGGGACCTGTAGTGTGCCAGATTACACTTAATAAAATTAACCAACTTGACTTACACAAAGTTCATTGAACATTGGCAAAAATCGAACATTTCCGCTACTTTGAGCTCAATTTCAGGTACTTTTCGTCATGAAAGCAATCAAAATCATGTCTATTTCTGTAAATTATCTTTCATTCAATCAAATGTCCAAAAAAATGAGAATACAACCATAAAAACCATACGAAAATATACTGCAAAGAGGCGGCTAATGGCTGAGAAGTGAACTCCCTTATTTATCGTCCATCTTTTTTATTTTTGTCGTACGTTAAGAAGCATCTTTCCATCATACATTGCCCAAGTTTCAATGAGATAGCCCAACAAACAACTGAGAAAAAAAATAATTACCAAAAATCATATATGGCAAGCCCAAGCCAGGTACTGGAAATAAGTCACTTTGTCTGACTTTTCTGGGTTATCCTAGGTTCTCTATACATACACTACTATGTATGATAATCTATGTAACTGTATTTGTGTATACCTTAATACACTTATTTACTTCTAGTCTGTCAACTGAGTACAAGAAACTGCCCATTCACTTATTTCAACTACCCAATAAAGCGGTCAGAAATTGGCAGTTTGGCCGATTTCACACAAATTTCAACAGATGCCAATTTCAAAATAGGGTCCAGAATAAACAATGCAGACATTCCTGGCACTAAAATAACATTTTCTCTGTTCATTAGTCACGGCTACAGGCCCCTCGTATATTACCCTTGCTTACCATTTGGAATTTTTATTAAAAAAAAAATAGAAGATTTACTGTTATGCAGACTACTGCATTATTGTAATACACATGTAATTGTATAAATAATGTCAACCCATTCTTGACTGGCAGGCGGACAGGTATTGGACGGTGATGTCATTTGTTTACTCTTGAGATTCGCTAAAGAATAGAACATTTTCGCTACTGTGAGCGCAATTTCAAGGTACTTTTCATCATGAAAGCAATCAGAATCATATCTATTTCTGTAATATATCTTTCATTCTATCAAATGAGACCGAAAAAATGAGAATATAACCATAAAAACATACAAAAAATATACCGCTAAGCGGTCGCTAATGGCTGAGAAGCGAACTCCGCTATTTATGGTCTGATTCCTTTCATTTTTGGTGTACGTGAAAAAGTATCTTTCCATCATACATTGCCCAAGTTTGAATAAGATAACCCAACAAACAACTGAGAAAATAATAATAATAATATCTTTATTTATTACACGTACATGTACAATGTATACAGGCCTAGCTGACATCAGTGACATACTACTGTATAGAAAGCCGCTTGTTATGCTGAGTATTTCAAGAAAATTAGGTCAGTGTCCCAGGATAACACCCACACTAGTCGGCTAACACGCAGGTACCCATTTACTGATGGGTAAACATAGACAACAGGTGTAAAGAAACACGCCTAATATTTCTACCCTGGCTGGGAATCAAATATTTATCAAAAATCATATATGGCTAACCCAAGCCAGGTACTAAAAATAAGCCATGTTGACTTTTTTGGGTTATCCTTGGTTCTCTACACATATGCTGCTATATGTGATAATCTATAGAGAGAAAATAGCTTTTGTTTCAGGTTTATGGTGCAGTATGAGTGTATAGCACAGTTAGCCCTGTACTATACTCTGTTTTCTCTAATATAAGCCACCAAGACGGATTGGAGAATGGTATTTGTATACCATATCCTCTTCATACCTCTGTCGAACTGCTCGGTGTTATGCCAAATATTATTCATTCTGGAGTATTTACCATGTTTTATGTTATTTATATTGTTTATTATATCATATTAGATCAATTGTGATAGGCAAATAAGCTGTAGTGTTGATATTAGCGTAATAATAAAGCATATTCTCCTGCTTCATGATACTGAGTTCATGGCAACCGACAGTGGCTTCAAAGTCACCTTATCTTTAACCCTTTGAGGGTCGACAGGCCCTCTCCGAAACTCGTTCTCAGGGTCGGCCAAATTTAAAAAAAAAAAAATTATTTTCTCTTATGAAAAGATAGAGAATCTTTTCCCGATCATAAAGACACCAAAAGTTTGAAATTTGATAGAAAACTTACGGAATTATGCTCTCGCAAAATTAGCAGTCTCGGCGATGTTTACGCATCGGCGATTTTGCCCACTTTGAGCCCCATTTTCGGCCAATTTCACTGTACTAGTCGACAAAAAACATGAATATTTCGCTAGAACTCCATTTTTTCTATCGAATGGGTGCAAGAAACCACTCATTTATGAAATTCAACTATCCAGTACAGTGGTCAGAATTTAGCAATTTTGCCAATTTCACACAAATTTCAAAAGATGCCAATTTCCGAATAGGGTCCAGAATAAACAAGAAAGACATTCCTGGCACTAAAATGACATTTCCTCTAGTCATTAGTCACGTCTCAAGGCCCCTCTTATATTCTTTTGCTTTCCACTTTGAATTTTTGTTTTCACAAAAAATATAAGATTTACTGTTATGCAGACTACTGCATTGTGTAAAAAATGGTTTTAAATTTATTGGTGCACTTGGTGAAAGAATATTAGACTCACCATTTTGACGGGGTAATTGCACGCTTGGCACGTTTTGTTTACTTTTGAAGTTTGGTAAAAATCGAACATTTCTGCTACTTTGAGCTCAATTTCAAGGAAACCTTTCTTTGTAAAACCAGTCAAAATCATCTCAATTTCTGTAATATGTCTTCCATTCTATAAAATGAGACCAAGAAAACTAGAATACAACAATAAATACCATAACGAAAATACACTGAAAAAGTCGCTGATTTATTAAAAAAAATGGTCAAAGTTTTTTTTTTCTCATTATTTCACTGTGTGCTGCAGGATTTTTTTTTAGACTGTGCACACTGACCCCCATAGACCCATTCTTTCATATGAAGGCCACCAGCTTTCCCCACTAGATTTGAGGCCGCTAGAATTTATGAGTACAGTACGTCAAAAACCCCACGCGTAAGATGTTTCTAGTACGATGAAAACCCTCAAAGGGTAATGGTAATGTACTGTGTAGGTGCTTTACATATTGAAAGCATTTCTTTTATTCATTGGAACCATGGTTAGGGCTAAAAGTAAGCAGGTTAAAACAATAAATGGAAAAAAAGAAATTGGAATGACTTATGCAGCAAGTAGCGCCCCCAATCAGTACCAGCAGGTTGGTGTGGCGACCCTGGAAATTGAAATTAGCTAGCCAAAATTAGTACCGAATAAATGAAGGAACCGAATAACTGATTGCCGATGTGAAAGGCTGACCTTTTACTAGCCTATTTCTGGTTGCAAGGTTTTAAAATGTTCATTATATGAAAATTTTATTTCAATTACTGTCAGCTTTATAAATATTTTGTATTGTGATAATTTCACTGTCAGTTATAACTGTTGACTACTTGTTAATATGTAATTTTTGCTAGGGTGTTGACATTAAGTGGTGAAGAAGTAAGGAGACAGAGATTGCTGGTTTTGTAGCTGACCAACAAACCTTCTTATCTTCCAACGTTAAAAATGACCACTATTCAGGTATGGGTTTTGTCACTGCTAATTGCTAATTCACTAGGTATGTGCATTGCTTTTATTAAAATGCTTTCTCCATAATTAATGCTTTTATCTAGCCATAGTTAATGGAAGTGAATGAAACATTGTACACTGTCACCATTTTTCCCAAAATACATGTTTGTCAATGTAGAAACTAATGCAAATAAAAGTACACCTACCATCCGACTTACGACCTGCTCGACATACGTCTACTCGACTTACGACCATGCATCTGGCAGCTGGGTTGGGCCGGCTGATGCACAACGCTGTACAATATTTGACAATACTCGCGGCGGCAATGTGTCATGCAGGCAGCATCAGTTTGAGTAACCCTGCCCTATCAGCAGCATCATACTGTATTAACTGTACTAACTGGACAGTAAATTTCACCATGGCCCCTAAGATGAAGTCTGAATCTTGCACTGGAGATTGTGGCAAGAAAGGCTCTTACTCTCAAACTCTATTTGTTTTCACTGTTGCACATAAACCTGTCTGTATCTGTCTGCCTGTATATCTGTCTGTATCTCTGTGTGTCTGTTTGTCTGTCTACTAGTGTGTCTTTCTGTCTACCTGTGTGTCTTTCTGTCTACCTGTGTGTCTTTCTGTCTACCTGTGTGTCTTTCTGTCTACCTGTGTGTCTTTCTGTCTACCTGTGTGTCTTTCTGTCTACCTGTGTCTGTCTATGTCTACCTGTGTCTGTCTTTGTCTACCTGTGTCTGGCTTTATGTCTACCTGTGTCTGTGTCTACCTGTGTGTCTGTCTTTCTGTCTACCTGTGTGTCTGTCTTTGTCTGCTTGTCTGTCTCAGTGCCACTCATTAAGAGTACTTGGTCTTGAAGACGCCATATTAATAATGATAACAATAATAATCACTGAGGCGCATTAAATGTGTATAAAACGTTAATATAGACATTTTGCTTAATCCATCTATGATGTTTTTTTCAAAAAAGTACTACCGTCCTGCCAGATGACTGTGAAACAAAAACCTGTAACTGTTTTGCATGATGGTAGGATTGCTGGTTTCTTTTTCTGTCTCATAAACACGCTAAGATAACAGGGATATCTTGCTACTCCTACTTACACTTTGGTCACACTTCACAGACACGCACATGCATATATATATATACATACATCTAGGTTTTTCTCCTTTTTCTAAATAGCTCTTGTTCTTTTTTTATTTCTTCTATTGTCCATGGGAAATGGAAAAGAATCTTTCCTCCGTAAGCCATGCGTGTCGTATGAGGCACTAAAATGCCGGGAGCAATGGGCTAGTAACCCCTTCTCCTGTAATACAATTAAAAAAAAAAGAGAAGAAGAAAAACTTTATAAAACTGGGTTGCTAAATGTGCGTGGAGTAGTGCGGATGACAAAAACAGATGATTGCTGATGTTATGAATGAAAAGAATTGGATGTCCTGGCCCTAAGCGAAACAAAGCTGAAGGGGTAGGAGAGTTTCAGTGGGGGGGAAATAAATGGGATTAAATCTGGAGTATCTGAGAGAGTTAGAGCAAAGGAAGGGTAGTAAATAATGTTAAATGATCAGTTATGGAAGGAGAAAAGAGAATATGAATGTTAAATTCAAGAATTATGTGGATTAAAGTAAAGGGTTTGGGTGCGAGAAGTGGGTCATAATAAGCGTGTATGCACCCGGAGAAAAGAGGAATGCAGAGGAGAGAGAGAGATTTTGGGAGATGTTAAGTGAATGTATAGAGCCTTTGAACCAAGTGAGAGAGTATTGTGGTAGGGGACTTGAATGCTAAAGTAGGAGAAACTTTTAGAGAGGTGTGGTAGGTAAGTTTGGGGTGCCAGGTGTAAATGATAATGGGAGCCCTTTGATTGAACTTTGTATAGAAAGGGGTTTAGTTATAGGTAATACATATTTTAAGAAAAAGAGGATAAATAAGTATACCGATATGATGTAGGGCGAAATGACAGTAGTTTGTTTGGATTATGTATTGGTAGATAAAAGACTGTTGAGTAGACTTCAGGATGTACATGTTTATAGAGGGGCCACAGATATATCAGATCACTTTCTAGTTGTAGCTACACTGAGAGTAAAAGGTAGATGGGAATACAAGGAGAATAGAAGCATCAGGGAAAAAGAGGTGAAGGTTTAAAACTAAAAGAGGAGGCATTTAGGGTAAGATATAAACAGCTATTGGAGGATAGATGGGCTAAGAGAGCATAGGCAATGGGGTCGAAGAGGTATGGGGTAGGTTTAAAAATGTAGTGTTAGAGTGTTCAGCAGAAGTTTGTGGTTACGGGAAAGTGGGTGCAGGAGGAAGAGGAGCGATTGGGGGAATGATGATGTAAAGAGAGTAGTAAGGGAGAAAAAGTTAGCATATGAGAAGTTTTTTACAAAGTAGAAGTGATGCAAGGAGGGAAGAGTAAATGGAGAAAAAGAGAGAAGTTAAGAGAGTGGTGAAGCAATGTAAAAAGAGAGCAAATGAGAGAGTGGGTGAGATGTTATCAACAAATTTTGTTGAAAATAAGAAAAAGTTTTGGAGTGAGATTAACAAGTTAAGAAAGCCTAGAGAACAAATGGATTTGTCAGTTAGAAATAGGAGAGGAGAGTTATTAAATGGAGAGTTAGAGGTATTGGAAGATGGAAGGAATATTGTGAGGAATTGTTAAATGTTGATGAAGATAGGGAAGCTGTGATTTCGTGTATAGGGCAAGGAGGAATAACATCTTGTAGGAGTGAGGAAGAGCCAGTTGTGAGTGTGGGGGAAGTTCGTGAGGCAGTAGGTAAAATGAAAGGGGGTAAGGCAGCCGGGATTGATGGGATAAAGATAGAAATGTTAAAAGCAGGTGGGATATAGTTTTGGAGTGGTTGGTGCAATTATTTAATAAATGTATGGAAGAGGGTAAGGTTACCTAGGGATTGGCAGAGAGCATGCATAGTTCCTTGTATAAAGGCAAAGGGATAAAAGAGAGTGCAAAAATTATAGGGGGATAAGACTGTTGAGTGTACCTGGTAAAGTGTTATGGTAGAGTTATAATTGAAAGAATAAGAGTAAGACGGAGAATAGGATAGCAGATGAACAAGGAGGCTTTAGGAAAGGTAGGGGGTGTGTGGACCCCGGTGTTTTACAGTGAAACATATAAGTGAAAAAGTATTTAGATAAGGCTAAAGAGGTCTTTGTGGCATTTAAGGATTTGGAAAAGGCGTATGACAGGGTGGATAGGGGGGGGGAATGTGGCAGATGTTGCAAGTGTATGGTGTAGGAGGTAGGTTTTCTGAAAGCAGGAAGAGTTTTTACGAGGATAGTGAGGCTCAAGTTAGAGTATGTAGGAAAGAGGGGAAATTTTTTTCCCAGTAAAAGTAGGCCTTAGACAAGGAAAGTGTGATGTCCACCGTGGTTGTTAATATATTTATAGATGGGGTTGTAAGAGAAGTAAATGCGAGGGTCTTGGCAAGAGGCGTGGAGTTAAAAGATAAAAAAATCACACACAAAGTGGGGAGTTGTCACAGCTGCTCTTTGCTGATGACACTGTGCTCTTGGGAGATTCTGAAAAAAAAAAGAAGTTGCAAGATTGGTGGATGAATTTGGTAGGTGTGCAAAAGAAGAAAATTAAAGGTGAATACAGGAAAGGTAAGGTTATGAGGATAACAAAAAGATTAGGTGATGAAAGATTGAATATCAGAAATTTGGGGGGAGAGAGTATGGAGGAGGTGAACGTATCAGATATTTGGGAGTGGACGTGTCGCGGGTGGGTCTAGAAAGATGAGGTAATCATAGAATTGATGAGGGAAAAAGAGTGAGTGGTGCACTTAGGGTCTGTGGAGACAAAGAACTTTGTCCTTGGGGGCAAAGAGGGGAATGTATGAGAGTATAGTTTTTAAACCCAAATCTCTTATATGGGTGTGAAGCGTGGGTGATGAATGTGCAGCGAGGAGAAGGCTGGAGGCAGTGGAGATGTCATGTCTGAGGGGAATGTGTGGTGTGAATATAATGCAGAGAATTCGTAGTTTGGAAGTTAGGAGGAGGTGCGGGATTACCAAAACTGTTGTCCAGAGGGCTGAGGAAGGGTTGTTGAGGTGGTTCGGACATGTAGAGAGAATGGAGCGAAACAGAATGACTTCAAGAGTGTATCAGTCTGTAGTGGAAGGAAGGCGGGGTAGGGTCGGCCTAGGAAGGGTTGGAGGGAGGGGGTAAAGGAGGTTTTGTGTGCGAGGGGCTTGGACTTCCAGCAGGCATGCGTGAGCGTGTTTGATAGGAGTGAATGGAGACAAATGGTTTTTAATACTTGACGTGCTGTTGGAGTGTGAGCAAAGTAACATTTATGAAGGGATTCAGGGAAACCGGCAGGCCGGACTTGAGTCCTGGAGATGGGAAGTACAGTGCCTGCACTCTGAAGAGGGTGTTAATGTTGCAGTTTAAAAACTGTAGTGTAAAGCACCCTTCTGGCAAGACAGTGATGGAGTGAATGATGGTGAAAGTTTTTCTTTTTCGGGCCACCCTGCCTTGGTGGGAATCGGCCGGTGTGATAATAAAAAAAAAAAAAAATAATAAACATGCTACATAACATATAAATTAACAAATATGAGATGTTTTTCTGGTCGGCTTGACAGCAGGAATCGTTCGTGTCTGGGCTGGTAACAACAACGTTTGTTTACATAACTCATGAACATTCTACATTCTCATTCTCTCTCTCATTTATTCATTTAATCTTGTCTACTCACCTCTCACTTTACATTAAAACTACAGATATTTTAAGGTAAGTAATGAGTGGACACGATTATTATATTATAGCTTAATAATAATAATATTAATATTAGTACATATGTATTATTGTAATAATAATGATTATTAATATTATTATTAATTTAGGGCACTGGAGCACAGATCCACTGTATAGCACTTTGTCTGGATTTTTTGGGTTATCCTAGGTAATTTATAATATGTATGATAACTTGACTTACATGTACCAATGAGAGAGAGAGAGAGATACAGAGAGAGATGCAGAGAGAGATGCAGAGAGAGAGATACAAAGAGACAGCCACATTCGGTCAGCCAGCCAGCCAACTACCCACCCACCCATCCAGCCACCCACCCACCCACCCAGCCACCCACCCACCCACCCGGCCACCCACCCATCCGGCCAGCCAGCCACCCACCCGGCCAACCACAGACCCGGCCACCCAGCCAGCCAGCCGGATACGTATTACACACGTTCCAGAGTTGTTTCTCTTTACTTAGGGTATAGGTTACACAACATTCTGCCAGGATGACACTACCAGTGGTATTCTCCCATTCCACTGTGTCGACAATACATAAAGATAATAGTAACATATGATACTGTATGCGATGTAAAATTTACAATGCATATCACTACCATGTATACATTATATACAGTACATAAATAATTAAAATACAACAGTAGAAGTAAATTATGGTAAAAAGAATGAAATAATGATTGCACATTACATTACAGTATTATGTAGGTAGTTTATATAGGAAAGTTTTGACATTATGCCCTACCCAATATGTCGGCAATTTTCAAAGGTTCGACTTACGTCCATTTCGACTTAGGACCGGTTGGTTGGAACCAAGCTTGGTCGTAAGTTGGATGGTAGATGTATATTTCTGTTATAAAGTATAATTCAAAGGAATATAAACTAAATAGTTGTGTTGAGTTAAGTAAGATATTGGCAGGTTCTTGGTATTTTTTTCTATCCATGATATCTTCTTTCAACAAACCTGCCGTATCCCACTGAGGCAAGGTGGCCCAAAAAGAAAAACAAAAGTTTCTCTTTTTAAATTTTAGTAATATATACAGGAGAAAGGGTTACTAGCCTCTTGCTCGCCTCTTACGACATGCATGGCTTACAGAGGAAGAATTCTGTTCCACTTCCCCATGGAGATAAGAGGAAATAAAGAAGAACAAGAACTAGTAAGAAAATAGAAGAAAACCCAGAGGGGTGTGTGTGCAACAGATTATTTGGTGTTTCTGGTAGCGGGGAGTAAATGATAAACGTCTTCGGAGGCTTCTTAGTTTATTTGCAAAGTCATGCCCATGGCCGGGAGGGCCATGCCCACCAGGGAGAGAGGGAGTAGACTTATTGACTGCTTCTAGGCCGCTGAATGAGAGAGCGAGTTGGACCAGCGTCCCACTGACCTGGGCAGGCCTAGAGGGCAGCACCTGAGTGCCGCAAAATATGAACTCAGCTGGCAGACAGCATAGGCTGTCTGTGCAGACAGTACAGGCTGTCTACATTCGCTCGGCCACCTACCACATGGTCGTCCCGACCATGTCTGGCGGTAAAAAAAAACTCGGTCTCTCTCTCTCGTAGGAACAGGGCACAGAACACAAAATAAAAACGTATATACATATTGACATGGAAAAAAAAAACTTCCTACAGGGAGGGAAGAAAAAAACATGTGGGGTGTGCTAAACATCATGGTCATAGGCAGTGAGCGTCGAAGGGCATCACTGCACGCCTTCCTGCATCTGGACAGACACTGCAACACAGGAGACATCGCTGCGGCTGAGCTGTGACGTAACGGGGTACGGTCTCCTCTAGAACAGTGAAGCAGTCATCGTAGGAGTCACTGCAGGTTTCACTCAACCTCAGGCACAACATGCTGGTGCCCTCAAGTGAGGCGTCGTCAAAACTCGGCAACTGGGCAGGACTTCTGGCAAGCGACTCAGGAGGACACTTCTCGACTGGTACTGCCAGCGAGCGTGGAGTAAGTCGTGGAGCAAGTCGTGGCAGAGACGACTGGGCGAAACATCTGGGAGTCGTAACATCATACACCAGACTGCAGTGAGCGAGCTAGCAGTCAAAGTGACATCTTCTTTGTACAGGCTTCTCACTGAAGCTTGTGACATGAGGCTGACACAGCGCCTGCCGACAGGGCTAACTGTGGCTTGACGAGTGTCATTCTCTCGGCAGTTGGAGTTATAGCAGAGGTTAGTCTAAGTGTCCCCAGACTTGTTTCTTGAAGGTCTGGAGGTGAAGTGAAACAAATCTTGATGGGAATCGTAGCAGGTACGATTCTGCAGAACATCTATGAGCGACGAGCATAAGAGCTTTCTGTACAAGGGGCTCATACGCTCAGGGCTGACTAATATCAGCTGTCAAATGCGCTGGTCACACCGGGTGACAGGCAACAAAATGGTCTGGGCGCAGACCTGTGGTCGACACACAGCTGGGTTCAAGACCACACTGGACACACGGAAACTTTACACACACCCGCGGTACATGTGGTACAACATCGCTTAAACTAGCAAATGATGCTTTTCTGTGTACAAAATTGACACTAAACTATACGCTAACATGTGAGAACACTGACTGATAGGAATTAATTAACACATGACACTGGAGGCAGTGGAGATGTCATGTCTGAGAGCAATGTGTGGTGTGAATATAATGCAGAGAATTCGTAGTTTGGAAGTTAGGAGGAGGTGCGGGATTACCAAAACTGTTGTCCAGAGGGCTGAGGAAGGGTTGTTGAGGTGGTTCGGACATGTGGAGAGAATGGAGCGAAACAGAATAACTTCAAGAGTGTATCAGTCTGTAGTGGAAGGAAGGCGGGGTAGGGGTCGGCCTAGGAAAGGTTGGAGGGAGGGGGTAAAGGAGGTTTTGTGTGCGAGGGGCTTGGACTTCCAGCAGGCATGTGTGAGCGTGTTTGATAGGAGTGAATGGAGACAAATGTTTTTTAATACTTGACGTGCTGTTGGAGTGTGAGCAAAGTAACATTTATGAAGGGGTTCAGGGAAACCGGCAGGCCGGACTTGAGTCCTGGAGATGGGAAGTACAGTGCCTGCACTCTGAAGGAGGGGTGTTAATGTTGCAGTTTAAAAACTGTAGTGTAAAGCACCCTTCTGGCAAGACAGTGATGGAGTGAATGATGGTGAAAGTTTTTCTTTTTCGGGCCACCCTGCCTTGGTGGAAATCGGCCAGTGTGATAATAAAAATAATATAAATATATATCTTCTCGACAATACTGACATAATTACTGAAACACTCGATGTGACATCATGTGATGTCAGGCGTGATGTTGCAAGGTGACATCAGCAGATATCTCGAGGTGATGTCAGGCAGACATCGTGACGTCATGAAGTCAGGCAGCAGCATCGGTGACGTCAATGTGATTGTGCTAGATAAATGAGACATACAGCTGATATTAGTGTCATATTGAAGGACTATCTTGTGTTTCCCAACACAATTCCTAACATACGCCAGAAACAGACCTCTCTGGAAAACTTTTTTTAGTGACGGGTCCAGTGGCTCTCAAGCTGGTCCTAGTGGCATTACAAAACAAAGGAGGGAAGTAACCCAGTATAAGGACTTGGTACCTGAAGTCTTTATGGAGTGGGATTCCCCTTCCAAGCAATTGTAAACTCCTCCATTCTCTCCCCTCCTCCCATTTTCCATACATCACCATGTCTTTAATAAAGGTAAATGTGGTATTATTATTGTTTTATTCTTCATGTATCATTGTTTTCTGTGTAGGGAAATGTATATTTCATGTTAAAAAAATATTTTTTTTAATACTTTTGGATGTCTGAAGTGGATTTCCATTATTTCTTATGGGGAAAATTAATTCGGATAACGATAAAATTGGTTAAGGACAAGCTCTCTGTAACGGATTAATATTGTTAACTGAGGATCCACTGTACATGTATTCTGTTTATTACAATATACAATAAACTACTGTATAAACATTTAAAAATGTACCAGAGATGTTATAAATGGTGATAAGGTGACAGTAAAACAATATCAAAGATGGTGGACTCAAACCCACTACCATTATAGTATGCTCCTCACTTAGCGACGAATTCGTGTACTGACGTGGTCTTAGGAGCGGAACTCCGTCATTAAGTGAGGAGAGACTGTATATAAGTAAACAGTTCTTAGATAAAGGTACAGAACTTTTTATTGCATTTGTGGATTTAGAAAAGGCGTATGATAGGGTGGATAGGGGAACAGTGTGGCAAGTGCTGCAAATGTATGGAATGGGTGATAGGTATTAAAAGCAGCAAAGTTTTCATGTAATTAGTGAGGCTCAGGTTAGGGTATGTAGGAGAGAGAGAGAGAGATTTTACAGTGAAAGTAGGCCTGTAGTATAAATTAATGGTCTATTCTAAATAAAGTACTCTCTTTAGTGAGAGAGCAGAAACAAGCACTTAAAAAATACATATAGAAAAAGGAGACCTTTTTATTATGACATTACACCTGTATATCACTTTAACAGGTAGATGAAACCTAGTAAAAAAAAAGGTCTTTTGCTATATGTGTTTTTTTTTTTTAACTACTACTCAGCTATGCTGTACTTCAGTCAGAGCAGAAACAAATTAAGGAGCTGTATTTTGTTATTGTTAGCTATAGGTATTTAATATGTATTAACTAATTTCCTTGTTAGGTGACAGGAACATCTTGTCGCTTAGTTAATGAGAACAACGGACAGCTGGTGTGTGAGTGGCGTCCACCTGAAGGTCGCAACATCTCTGTGGTTGCTGCCAACACTAACCAGGTGGTGGCTGCAGCAGGACAACACATCTATTATCTCACCATCCAGCCATCCAGTTTAAAACTTGAGGCGTGAGTCACATAATGCTTTGTCAGGCTTTTGTGAAGATGCATATTTTCTCAGTTTTTGCTTTCATATTAACAATAATTATCCATATATCTTCACAGCTCCAGGTGTTAAAAGAATTGATAAAGTGTAGGAGCTTCACTTGCAGAATGAGTAATGTAATTCTTGTGAAAAGTGCACTTATGAATTTGGTAGTATATCCTTTACTCTGTTCATTAATCATGTCCTCAGACCTCATTAATATAACATTTGTCTTCCATTTTGAATCCATTATTGCACAAAAATTCAATGTTTCTCCCTATTACTTTTCTAATAAACCATAACCAAGAATGCTTGGTCATAGTTTAGGCAGCCCTAGTGATTGAAACAGACCTAGTAAAAAGGAAACTGGGGGAGTTAGAGGGCTTCTCCCCTTCTCTAGGAAAATCGCCAAAAATTAACAGTTTCTGTTACTTTGAGACCTAACTTATGCCACCTCTGGTTTGAAACTAACCAAAAGCTAACTCAATTTTGGCTAGTTTGTCTTCCAGTCTATTGACACATGAAACAGTAAGTAAAACCATGAAAACCGTGCCAGAAAATGCCCCAAAAGTGCTAAATTAACTCAAACACACAATCAGAGGTTAGTTGTTTCCATCATGTGCTGCATGACTTAGGATTTTTTTTTTTATACTGTGCACACCTACTGCACAAACCCATTCTCTCACGTCTAGGCCAAAATTTGCCGCTCCACAAATTTAAGGGTACTTGATTTATGCTTAAATCTACATAAGGACAACTGCTTTGATGACATAGTTCCACATTAGTGACTTTCTAAGGCTTAAGAAACCCCTTGATGATGATGAAGGACTCTTGATGTATAGTAGACCGTCGATTAACACAGTAGTTACATTCCTGAGAATTCGGTGCAAAACAAAACTGTTAAGCAAACTTAATGACTTATGGGGAAAAAAGGGTTACATTTCTTGGACCCCAAAAATGGCAGACTTTTTTTTTAGGTCTCCCAAATCATAAAAAAAAATAAAACTGATAATGTAATTCTTGTTCATTGTCGTGATGTATATGTTCAATGCATTGCTTAACCCCTAAACGGTCCAAACGTTTATATATATTCTTATGTGTGGCACCCCAAACGTATATGTACGTTTTAATTTTCCTGTCTCCAAATTTGGCACGACTGCCCTGAGATGCCTGGTCAGCATAGAATGGGTCTTAACACTGTGTGTGCACCATATTAAAAAAAATTTGGGACCACTTAGTACCTTGTGGGAGCGCCAGTTAAATTGAGCACCAGCTAGAGCAAACAGTGCGGTAAACACCAAGGATTCACTGATGTAATGTCATATTAACACTCCTCTTTTAAGAGGAAAGTGATGTTAACCCCAAGTTTAGGGTCTGTCCATCTCTGTCTATCTCTGTATCTCTATCTCTGTCTGTCTGTCTCTGTCTGTGTGTGTCTGTCTCTTTCAATCTATCTCTGTCTATTCCTGTCTCACAGGTACACATAAATACGAGTATACGTAGTGTAAATTACCTAGGATAACCCCAAAAATCCAGACAAAGTGCTATACTCTGCTTGAAGATGTGAGTAAATGTGATGACGCAGTCTTGTGGCTCTCTCTGAGACAGAGCTAGATGGATAGACAGATAGACAGGGAGCTTCAGACAGACAAATACAGACAGACGATGCTCATCAAATGTCACCTCTAATCTTTTCTTATCAAGTGTTATCACTGCACCCTCGTGTATGCTCGTCAAACGTCAGCTCTTATCAAATGTTATCTCATCTTATCATGTCACTGTCACGGTGGACTTTGTTTTTCATGCTTCAAGGCAACTTATTATTACTTGCTATTATTATTACATATTCTTCTCCTCCTCTTCCTCCTCCTTTCCTCCTCTTCCTCCTCCTCTTCCTCCTCCTCCTCCTCTTTCTCCTCTTCCTCCACTTCCTCTTCCTCTCCTTTCTCTTCCTCTCTTCTACCTCTCTTCTCTCCTCTTCTCCTCCTTCCTCTCCTCTCCCCTCCCTTCCTCCCTGCCTCATCTCCTCCTCCTCCTCTCCTCGTCCCCTTTTCCTCCCTACCCCCCCCCAACCCCCGACCTCCCCTTTTTCCCCCCCTTCTCTCCCTCTCCTCCCCGCCTTCTCCTCTTCCTCTTCCTCCTCCTCCTCATCTCCTCCTCTACTCTTCCTCCTATCCTCCTCATCCTCCTTTCTCTCCTCCGACTACATCCTCCTCATTCCGTCCTCCTCATCTTCCTCCTCCTCATCCTCCTCCTCATCAGTCCTCCTCCTCCTCCTCCACTCCTCCTCTCATCCTCCCCCTCCTCCTCTTCACTCACTCCTCTCCTCACTACCTACTCTGCCTCCTCCTCCTCTCCTTCGATCTATCTTCCTCACCCTCTCCCTCCTCACCTCTCCATCATCCTTCCCTCCGTCCCTCCATCCTCCTCCCTCATTTCCGTCCCTTCCCTCCTCCCTCCTTCCCTCCCCTCCCCCTCCCTCCCTCTCCCTCTTCCCTCCTCCCCCTACCCTCCCACCCTCCTTCCCTCCCCCTCTCCTTCCCTCCCTCCCATCTCCTTCCCTCCCTCCTCCTTCCCATCCTCTCCTTCCCACCCTCTCATCCCTCCCTCTCTTCCCTCCTCTCCTTCCCTCCCTCATCCTTCCCTCCTCTCCTTCTCTCCCTCATCCTCCCTCCCATCCTCTCGCCCCTCTCCCTCCCTCTCCCTCCCTCTCCTCCTCCCTCTCCCTCCCTTTCTCTCCCCCCTCTCCTCCTCCCCTCCTCCCTTCTCTCCTCCTCTCTCCCTCCTCCCCTCCCTCTCCTCTCCCTCCCTCTCCCCCTCCTCTCTCCCCCCCTCCCTCTCTCCCCCTCCCTCCTCCCCCCTCCCTCTCTCTCCCCCTCCCTCCCTCCCCCTCCCCCCTCTCTCCCTCCCTCCCTCCCTCCCTCCTCTCCCTCCCTCCCTCCCTCCCCCCCTCTCTCCTCCCCCTCCCTCCTCTCCCTCCCTCCCTCCCCTCCCTCCCTCCCCCTCTCTCTCCCTCTCTCCCCCTCTCCCTTCCCCCTCCCCCCTCCCTCCCCCCTCCCTCCCTCCCTCTCCCTCCTTCCCCTCCCTTCCCTCCTTCCCTCCCCCTCCCTCCCTCTCCCTCCCCCTCCCTCCCTCTCCCTCCCTCCCCCTCCCTCCCCCCTCCCTCCCCATCCCTTCCCCTCCCTCCCTCCCTCCCCCTCCCCCCTCCCTCTCCCTCTCCCCCCTCCCTCTCTCCCTCTCCTTCCCTTCCTCCCTCTCCCTCCCTCTCCTTACCTCCCTCCCTCCCTCCTCCTCATTATTATTATTATATACTTCCACATTTCCAAAACATTGCTGGGACATATAAATGCTTTGTATATATTCCAAGACAATAGTAAATGGCTAAGGCAGGTGGAAATGTCCACCTGTCAATGTGTTTGTGACAATTTGAGTACAATTTCAGTACCTAATACTAATGTCAGAACAAAGATTGGTTATGAAATGACAAGAACTACTATAAATTGTAATTATCAGAACATAAAAATTATATAAAATATGAAAAATAGAAAAAATGGTATATCGGCAACACTTCTGCAAGTGGCAGGACTCCATGTTGCCGTCACGTGAGCATCCAGTGCCAATTTCTCAGCCTCATATCTCTGTAAGTACTGACCCTAATTTTTTTTTATTCTAAAACACTTAAAAAATGTGCTCTTTTTTTTCTATATAAATTTTTTTTTTTTTTTTTTTTTCAAAATATTCGGGGCACTGTGCAGGTGAACGTATATATACGTTTGGACCGTTTAAGGGTTAAGGCTGCAAATGTTACAGAAATAATATTTCTTATATTGTGGTTGCTGGTGTATGTCAGTGATTCTGAACAGAGTGGAGAGGGATGCTGTGGCCCTACTGGGCTGAGGTGGAAGGTTGTGGCCTTGGCACTAAAGTCAGTAGTTGCACTGTAGTAAGAAATTCTGTACAATATGTGTTCAAAAATATGACAGGCATGCAGCTGACACCAAATTCATTTTCAACAACAAGAACATCAACTGGGATCAGGTGAACCTTGTCTTAAAGTAAATATGTTGGGAATATATCTTAAATAACATGGATCCAAACCAGAGCTTTGAAAGGATCAGTTTCCTGGCAGCTAAAGTATGTTCAAGGCATATTCCCCTAAGAAAAAAGAAGAGAAAAAGTAAACTGGAGAGAGAAAGATGCTCTCTCTACAGAAGATGAAGAATCACTGAGCTCCTCAAGAACACTAGATTATCTGATACACGGAAGGAAGTGCTGACCAGGAAAGTGGACAGTATTGAGTTTAAGTTAAAGGATTCATATAGGATCCAGGAGAGAGAAGAGGAGCTAAAAGTGATTAGTGAAACTGAAAGAAATTTGAAATATTTCTTTTCATATGCAAAAAAAAGTCAAAAACCATATCTAATATTGGGCCCTTGCTCAGACAAGATGGGACTTACACAGATGACAACAAAGAAATGAATGAGATACTGAAATTTCAGTACGACTGTGTTTAGCAAACTACTAATCAGTCTAAAGATCAAACAGTCCAAGTGATTTTTTCATGAATGAGCCTCAAAATTCTGTCAATTTATGCCAAATTTCTAACATTACCCTAACTCCACTGGACTTTGAGAAAGTCATTGATAGCATGCCCATGCACTCAGCCCCAGGCCCAGACTCTTGGAACTGTGTGTTCATTAAGAACTATAAGAAATCCCTTTAGCATGCCCTAAGTATGCTATGGAGAAGGAGCATAGACACGGGGGAAATTCCACAGTTGCTAAAAACAACAAATATAGTCCCATTCCATAAAGGTGGCAACAAAGCAGTAGCTAAGAACTATGGACCAATAACTCTGATGTCTCACATCATAAAAATCTTTGAAAGAATGCTAAGAAACATGATTGCAAACCATTTGGATTCCCAAAAATTGTATAATCCAGGGCAAAATAAGTTCAGAGTGGGTTTCTCATGTCTGTCGCAA